ATTATCTATCTATCTATATTATCTATCTATATTATCTATCTATCTATCTATCTGTCTGTCTGTCTATCTATCTGTCCATCTGGAAGCATGAAAACGAAGCTATTCGGCGCGACTTCCTCAGTTTTTGAACTTGACAACATCAAAACGCAGCATTTCTGCGAGACTTCCTCAATTTTTGAACTTGATAACATCAAAAACGAAGCAATTCTGCGAGACTTCCTCATTTTTAGAATTTGACAACACCAAAAATAAAACCATGCTGCGAGACTTCCTTCAAAAATGGAAAGTTGAGTGCAGAGCTGACGGCCTCGTGCCGATGCGTTTTGCGATTTTTCCAGTCCACCTGTCTAAAGTACTGCGCCTGCCACGAAAAAGTGATGCCAGGTTATACGAAGTGCTGCACCTGTCACGCAAAATCATCTCAGCAAACCTGAAGATCTGATGCTTCAAAATGCAACCCCTCTCAGGAAATCAGCGCCCGGACCTCCTAACAGCCCTGATGAACATGTCTCTTGTACTGCGCCTGCCACGGAAAATGGATCTTTGCAGATCCTCTTCAAATGTCCCACACCTGCCATCATTTTTTGGACATGCTACAAAACCCTCACGTTTTGCTCACTTTTGAGAAGGTGCACAGTCCCTTGCGCCTACCGCGCGAAAGCACATCTGAACCTCCAAAAGTGGTGCGAACATGTGGTGTTTTTAACATTTTGACTTGGAAATGTGCTTCGTGCCACAACGGAAATGTGCTTCGCGCCACAACTGCGTGCACTTTTTCGACATCTCAACCTCCAAATGTGGTCCGAACCTGGTGTGTTTTGTACATTTTGACTTCGAAATGTGCTTCGCGCCACAACGGCGTGCACTTTTTCGGCATCGCAACTTCCAAAAGTGGTCCGAACCTGGTGTGTTTTGTGCATTTGACTTCGAAATGTGCTTCGCGCCACAACGGCGTGCACTTTTTCGACATCGCAACTTCCAAAAGTGGTCCGAACATGGTTTGTTTTGTACATTTTGACTTCGAGATGTGCTTCGCGCCACAACGGCATGCAATTTTTCATCTCTCATCTGGCCAGCTGGCTCCGCACCCGCCGCTTTAGCGAGCCTACTTTTCGACCCTCCGGAGCCACAAATAATTGGAAAAACACAGTGATTCGCGACTTTTCTACCTTTTCGCGCACCTGCACCTTCTTTCTTCTGACTCTTTCTCTTCTCTGATCTTCTCTCTTCTACTCTTCTCTCTTCTACTCTTCTCTCTGACTCTTCCCATCTCTGCTTTTCATCTGTCCATATTGTCGGAAGTTTGACTTCTAAACTTCCTTCGATGAATACATGACTGTATAAGTGTCCTCAGCCAATAGCTAAACTTCAATTTTTGTCCTTGGGTCCGCGCGGGCACGTGCCACAAAGTACCCCAAGATACGCTTCTGGTGGCGCGCGCGCGGGTCCACTGAAAAAATGTTACATTCTTCTTCGTGGAGGTTACTCTTTGAGTAAGTAGGCATATAAGCATCTAAGCATGAGCATGCATAAGCACATAAACACATACATACCAAAAGATGCAAATTAACATTAAAATATCAGAAAATCACAGTATTTGCATTTATAAAGTTTTCTTTTAATAAATATACATATATATATAAATATATATGTATTTTAAAAAAATACATTGTCGAAAAATATCATTATCTATTTACAAATAGATATCAATAAATTAAAAAAACAGTTTTATAGAGATTGAAATGTATCAGTATACAAACAAATAAATGGAGACAAATGATCAGAATATAGATATTGAAAAACTACAAAAATATGTAGATTTTCAAATCAACATATAAACATTTAGCTTTATCAAGTAAGGTATAAACCAGATAAATATATAAGTTATACATTTCAATATATAAAAAATATATCCACTATCAAAGTATTTCAGTATTCAAAAACATAGCAGCCTCTAAATACCACACGAATCACAGAGAAATCATTGATTTAGTAAAATATGCACAACGATACACACATAAAAATTATTTTTCAAACAAAACCAAAATATAAGCATAGCAAAAGCAACAATATATATACCAACGTATGAAAATGCATCAATATACAAATACATCTGTATTTATTTTTATTGATGAAGCTACCTGCCTATCACAAAACAGTTTCAAATATCAGTATCTCCTTTTATTTTTTAAAAAACTCAATTTATTCAATTTCAGCTTTTTTAACTGTTCAAAAACAAGATGTCAAGTAAAGAAATACCAGATTTAATTACTACATTCCACCATTCATTACTGAATCTAAGTTCAAATATGTTAAAACCAAAGTTTTTAATAAAAAAACAGAAATAAATGACTGGGATGGTGGACACACTAAGAAAATATGATAAGAACATGATTAAACATAAATACAAAGACTGGATGATGGAAATATGCATATATCTCCCTTTCTTCTTATTTTCTCATTTTTACTTTTTTTTTCTCTCTTTTTTCCCCACTAATATTAAAAACAAATCAAAACTAAACCCGACGGATCTGGACCCCATTTGCTTTTTGCTGACAAATGTGAGCCAAGACATCCTCTGATGAAAGGGACGTGACATGACATCGCTTGCCACATCACATGATCAGCTTCCACCTGCTCGCCTGAGTGAACTTAGCGCTCATCTGGCAATCATGGCAACTGTGTTAGCGCAGGGCCCTGAGGCAGCCAATGAATTGGCACCTGCAGGTGACGACAGTGGCCTGTAAATCAGTCCGATTTCACTTGCCCGACAATTTTCGACTTTGCAGACCTTTTCGGCGCAATCTTCCAAAAAGAGCCCCGCTGCTGCGGGGCATGTACCCTGGTCGGTAGTTTTTCACTTTGTTATTTCTCTGATCTACATCAATGCTTGTCGTAGTGATGCTCTAGCTGCAGGGGGGCGAAGGGCACAGTGGAAATTGCACGCCCAACGAAGCTATCCACTTGTGCTGGAAGCAGAGCCTGATCAACTCTGTGTACCTGCTATTCAAATTTCATGTTCAATTCCGTTTGGCCAGCGTTGACAGCCAAGAACCGCCATTCCGTGTTTCCAATTTCTTGCACGGTTGTCACAATTTGATCGGGTTTGCCGAAGTTCTGCGCTGTTTTATTTGGCTATGGCAACAGCACTGGCTTTTCGATGGTTGTCAAATGGTATTTCATGGTGAATTGAAAGGGGAAGGGACAGCTACCGATTTTATTTGGGACAGCAGTTTTCGATTCTTACAGTGTTGATTTCTCCTGTCCCCTCTGTATGCCTCCTCCTGCCAGTATAATTCAAGTGTGTTTTGCACGACAGATGCATTCCACTTCACAATCCGATAAGACAGTTCTGAGCAAGTGTGTGCGTGTGTGTGTGTGTGTCTGTCTGTGTGTGCGAAAAGCTTGTCTGTGTAAAAGCGTCTTTGCGTAAAGGTGCCTGTGTGTAAACGCTTGTGTGCCGCGTAGGTGTAGAGGACGCAACGCAGTGCACGACACGTGCTGCAGTAAAGTCCATCATCATCATCATCATCATCATCACCGCCATCATCATCACCGTCTTCTTCACCTTCATTTCATCATCATCAGCAGCATCAGCATCATCATCAGCATCAGCATCATCATTGTTGTCATCATCATCATCATCACCATCATCATCATCATCATCACCATCTTCCTTATCATTGTCCTCGTTGTCGTTGTCGTCTTCGACATTGTCACCATCACCATCATCATCATCATCCTGTTTTCACCTTCATCTTCATTCTTCATCCTTCTTCTTTCAGCCTTCACCGTGGATCCTTCGTCCTTCAGTCTTCTTCACCATCATCATCAGCACCACCGCCATCTTCATCATCATCAGCATCATCATCAGCATCATCGTCAGCGGCAACATCATCATTATCGTCATCACCATCTTGCTCATCATTTTCATACTCACTTTCATTTTCAATTTGGTTTTCATTTTCACTGTCAAATGTATGTTCGCTTCATTTTCATTTGCATGTTCGGATTCATTTCAAACTCAGTATCCTTTGGAAGGAACCCTTCACATGCGTGTTTTTTCTTTCCAGGAACCATCGCTGTTTGTCTCCCGTTTGCTTTTTGGGCCATGCTGTCGTTCAGTGTTCGGCCTTCCCAATTATACATTTTTTTAATCAATGTTTCCATCGGAAACGCGCAGATGATTTCAAGCATTGTTGCGTCTCGTTATAGCGTGTGCTTGTGATGGTGTTTGGAATCGTTTTCATTCGTTTCCCACAGCAGGGACACCATGTGGCGCCAAATCTTTCGCGCTCACTGTGAGGCTGGTACAGCTGCCTGTCAGGTAGGTCCTATGAAACTTGTCCTCGGTGCAAACGCTCCAGGTAAAGCAACTTAGGACTGTGACTGAACAATTTGTGGAAAAGCGCAGTGGAGCGCAAAGGCGAGTCAAGCGCAAAATAATGCACCCCAACACAACGACCGATTCATAAAAGATACAATGAAACGCCGTAGATCAAAACAATGCTGAACAGTTGAGCACAGTCAGGTTTTTTGTGAGATTCATTAACCCAACATGTAGAGTTCTTCAGTTTGAGATGGACACGCCTTTGCCCGCACTCGACACGTGCATTTTTGCAATTTGAATTGGATCCTCAGAGGTTCCACTGTTTGACTCAATTCCATTGATGCACAGTGTATTGAGTCTTTCAGGACTGCATTGCAAATAGCTACAAATCTGGAGAATAACCTATATACCATGACTGGCTCTAGCTTGACATTACGGTGCTCAATTTTCTCGACATCATATCTGCAATGCAAGGGGCCTGGCTCCTGTTCAGCTGTTGTAGGAAGATTTCTTGGTGTGCAAATGTGATGCCTTTGCATGCCAACTGGCAGCCCAATGCATGTTGGTTGTTTAGACTTTCTGGGAGGTTTTACCGTCTTCATTTTTTCGCATTTCGCTGATAATGCCACGAACAGCTTGACATAACAAACCCTCTCTGGTTTCCACGGGATGTGTTTGGGGGAGGTTCTTGAAGTGACAGGGACACGGCACGCGAGATGCAACGGTTCACTGCAAGCGACTTGCGGGTGCCACACCGCAGCGTAATTTGGTATGACCAGGTGTTGCCTTCGGGCCGTGGGCGAGTTTGATGCCAGTGGAATGCCACTTCGAAGTGCTGGATTGCCTGAGCTGCTTCTTTTTTTACCTCGGGCAAGGAATACCTTTGGTATCCCTTGGTCCTGCGTTTTGCAGCAATGCCTCCGTGATGCCACAGGTCTTTGCCTTGGTTTTCCTTTGGGTTTACTTCTCATGTTTGCACTGCTTAAGAACTTATGAACCGAAGACTGCAGAATCGATAATGTTGAGGAAAAGGGCCCAGTAGCCAGCAGCATACAGGTTTTGGATTCTCTGTCTCCTCTTAAAAAGTAGTTGCCCTTTGCTCTTGTTTGATCTGCTCAGCAGACTTTGGTTGCAAGTCCGTCTTCAGTTGGCTGAGGCTGTCTTGCCAGCATCTCCAGGAGGCCGCTTCATGGCAGTGGCAAAGCTTGGCCGAAGCCTTTGATGCTTTTTTCATCTTTTACACTTTAAATAAGCCCAAAGAGTATCCCCAACAGCCAGAAACAAAAACAGTTAGCAAACACGCAATGAGTGAAGTATGTTTATTCCCCAGCTCTTCTTACTCTAGAGGTCGGGCGTGCAAGGCGAAATCACAGTATTTATGAAACAGTGTTGCAAACGCTTTTCCAAAAGCGTTTGCAACACTGTGGCAGCTGAAGGGCCAATATTCCCGAAGCTCCTGCGAAGGGTTTTCCTAAAGAATTGCTGTCGGCCTCACTCTTCACTTCGTCTACCTAACATACATCATCCACATCTCTCATGTCCTGTACATCACCTCCATCTTCTATACCATCTTCTACATCATCCTCCCTACATCTACATCTACATCTACATCTACATCTACATCTACATCTACACCATCATCATCATCATCATCATCAACAAGAACTCCATCATCATCATCGTCATCATCATCATCGTCATCATCATCGCCGTCATCATCATCATCGTCATCATCACCATCATCATCATCATCATCGCCGTCATCATCATCATCGTCATCATCACCATCATCATCTATCTCTTTGACCTACACATTTTACATCACCTACACAATTTCCCATTAACCTCACCTACATGACATACATCATCTACAACGCATACATGACCTACATCATCATCTATATCACTACATCCTCTACATCATCTACATCTTCTAATCTATCTAACCTCACATCACTTACAACATCATCCTCATCACCTACAACATAGACAACATCACCTACATCAGCTACAGGTGATCAACTTCTAGGGAACTCCTACAAAACTTGAAAAAATGCCATTTACACAGGAGTTGACTTGCAGGTGATCCACTTTTACTTGAACCCCTACAAGACTCCTGCAAGGTCATTTGCACAGAAATTGTTACACAGGAGTTGCTACACAGGAGTTCAGCCAAATTCCAGGTGATCAAATTGTATCTGAACTCCTGCAAAATCAGACTGCTCCTGTTCTTCTATTTCTCTCTGGCGGCAGGGACAGCCGCGTGTGGCGAAATGCGGGTCTTGATTGTCCTTGGGCAACCCTCTGCGGAGATCGCACGTGTCGGATGGGAAAACATGTGGTGTGGTGAAATGCGAAACTTCTTTGCCCGCAGCAACCGTCTGCGGAGATCGTGCGTTCCCGACGCCCAAACAAGTGGTGGAATGTGAATTTCTTTTGGGCATGGGCAACCCTCTGCAGAGATCGCGCAGGTCGGACATCCAAACATGTGGCAAAATGCAAAATTTGGTGAGGCCCGGCGCAGCCCCTTCCATGAAATGAGGGTCAACCGTCAAAAGCTGGTGCAAAACTGTCATTCTGAAAGTTACTTAAGTAAAATTGTGATTGTTTGAAGCGTGTAAAAGCTGCTCTGTGGAATCGGTTTTTCTGTGGGAAAGCGTCTGTGTGTAAAGGCTTCTCTGTGTAAAAGCTTCTGTGCGTAAAAGCCTCCGTGTGTACAAGCTTCTGTGTGTAAAGGCGTCTGTGTGTAAAAGCTCCTGTGCGTAAAAGCTTCTCTGTGTAAAAGCTTCTGTGGAAAAGCTTGTGTGTGTGTGTAAAAGCTTGTGTGTGTAAAAGTTTCTGTGTGTAAAAGATTCTCTGTGTAAAGGCTTCTCTGTGTCAAAGCTTCTGTGATTCTCTGAAAAACAATCTGTGTCTAAATGCCTCTGTGTGTATAGGCGTGTATTTGTCAAAGCGTCTCCGGGTAAATGCTTCTGTGTGTAAAGGCATCTGTGTTCAAAAGCTTCTGTGTGTAGAAGCATCTGCCGCATCTGTGTGAAGAACTTTTGTGTAAATGCCTCTGTGTGTAAAGACCCGTCTGTGTAAAAGCTTGGGCATTTGCGTGTTTAAAGTTTCTGTGTGTATAAGATTGTATAAGCTGCTCTGTGCAAAGGCATGTTTTCTGTGTAAAAGCTTCGGTGTGTAAAAGCTGCTGTGTAAACCCTGCCCTGTGAACAAGCTTCTATGCGTAGAAGCCTCTGTGTGTGTAAAAGCTCTGTGTGTAAAGGCGTGTGTGTAAAGCTTTTGTGTGCGTAAATGCTTCTGTGTATAAAAGATGCTCTGTTTAGACGCTTCTCTGTGTAAAGCTTCCGTGTGAAAACCTCTGTGCAGAAAAGCTTCTGTATGTAAAGGCCTCTATGTGTAAAAGCATTTGTAAAGTTGCTCTGTGTAGCAGCTTCTGTGTAAAAGCGTTTGTATGTCAAAGCTGCTCTGTGTACAGGCATCTGTGTGTGTGTGCGCGCAAAGAAGGCGTCTGTGTGTAAAAGCTTCTGTGTACAAGCTTCTCTGTGTAAAGGCCTCTCTGTGTCAAAGCTTCGGGGTGTAAAAGCTGCTCCGCGTAAATGCTGCTCTGTGAAAACAAACCTGCGTGTAAAAGCTGGTCCGCGCAAAGGCTTCTCTGTGTGAAAGCTGCTGTATAGCCGTTTGTGCGCAAAGTTCCTTCCCGCAAACGCTTGTCTGTGAAAAAGCTTCTCTGTGCAAAATCTTCTCTGTGTAAAAAGAAAGCTTCTGTGTGTAAAAGCTTCTCTGTTTAAAGGCTTCTCTGAGTCAAAGCTTCTGTGTGTAAAAGCTTCTGTTTGTAAAGGCATCTCTGTGCAAAAGCTTCTGCGTAAAAGCTTTCTTGTGAAAAGGCTGTAAAAGTTTCTGTGTCTAAAAGCTTCTTTTTGTAAGGCGTGTGTGTCCAAAAGCTCCTGTGTGTAAAAGCTTGGGGATCTGCTCTTTAAAGTTCCTGCGTGTAAAAACTTCTTTGTGAAGAAACGTCTATGTGTAAAGCTGCTCTGTGTAAAGGCTTCATGTGGTAAGGCTTCTTTAGAAAAGGCTTTTCTGTGTAAAAGCTTCTGTATGTAAAAGCGTCTGTGTGCAAAAGCGTCTGTGTAAAAGCTTCTCTGTGTAAATCCCTCTCTGTGTAAAGGCTTCTATGTGTAAAATCTTCCCTGTGTGATTTTTCGCTGTGTAAAAACAACATGTCTTTTGATTCTGACTGTCGCTCAGGTGCCAGCCCTGGAGCAAATCCTCTGCGGGGACAAAAAAGGCATGAAACCGTGGATATATGACATTTGCGTCAGCTATCATTCATCATCATCTCCGTCGCCATTCATCCTCGTCATCGTCATCGTCATCATCATTGTCGTCATCATCATTACCATCATTACCATCATTACCATCATCATCATCATCATAATCATCATCACTTTCTTGTGTATTATCCTCTCGTCTCCTCCTTCCTGCTTTCTTTCAGGCCACCCCGTCGTCTTGTGTTCTTATCCATGTGCGAGTGCCGTATTAGTTGCTCAATGTTCTTGGAACCTTGCCTGGGCAACTGTTACTGTATTGGACGTTGCTTGACACTTGTTTATCGGGACCTTGCTTGGGAACCTGTTCTTGGGAGCCTTGCTTGGGAACCTGTTCTTGGGAGCCTATTCTTAGGAACCTGCACTTGGGAGCATTGCCTGATAATATGTTCTTGGGAGCTTTCTCTTGGGAACCTGTTCTTGGAAACTTTGCCGGCTTGCTTCAAACCTGTTCATTGGGACCTTGCTCGGGAACCTGTTCTTCGTAACTTTGCTTGGGAACCTTGTTTAGGAACCTGTCCTTCGGAAGCTTGCTTGGGATTCTGTTCTTGCTTCCAACCTTGCTTGCAGCTGTTCTTCGAAATTTTGCTTTGCAAGTTGTTCTTGGAAAAGCTGTTCTTGGAACATGAGCAACCTGTTCTTGGGAACCTTGCTTGGGAACCTGTTCGTTGAACCCTTCTTGCAACATTGCTTTGGAACCTTTCTTGACAACCTTGCCTGTCAACCTATTATTCGAAACTTTGCTGGCGAAACTGTAGTTGAAAGCCTGACTGAGGAACCTTGCTTTGAAACCATGCTTGGAAACGTGCTCGTGGGAACCGTGCTGGAAACCTATTGCTCGGAACCTTCCTGAAGAATTTGTTCTTGGAACCCGAACCTGCTCTTGGGAACCTGTTCTTCGAACCCTTGCTTGGGAACCTGTTCTTGCGAAGCTTGCTTGCAAACCTGTCTTTGGGAACCTTGCTTGGGGACCTGTTCGTGGAAACCTTGCTTGGGAACCTGTTCCCGAGGACCTTGCTTGGTAACCTTGCTACCTTGCAAGGAAAGCTGTTCTTGGAAGCCTTGCTTGGGAACTTGAGGCACTGTTTTTTGGAACCCTTGCTTGTGAACCTGTTCTTGCGAACCTTGCTTAGGGACCTGGTCTTGCGAACCTTGCTTGGAAACCTGTTCCCAGGAACCTTGCCTGGAAACCCCTTGCTTGCGAAAAGATTCTTGGAAACCTTTTTGCAACCTTTTCTTGGAAACCTGTTCCTGGGAGCCTTCCTTGCTTGGGAACTTGTTCCTGGGAACCTTGCTTGGCAACTGTTTCTGGAACCTTTGCTTGGGAAGCTTGCCTGGGAACCTGGCTTGGGAATCGTTCCTGGTAACCTTGCTTGCGAACCTGTTCCTGGAAAATTTGGTTGGAAATCTTGTTCCTGAAGACCCCAATCTTACGCTGTTGGGAAAAAACTTGTTCCAGGAAATTTTGCTTGGGAACCAGCTCTTCCTGGGAACGCTTGCTTGAGAACCTGTTCCTGCGAGCCTTGTTCCTGCTTGGAACCTTGCTTGGAAACGGTCCCTGGGACCTTGCTTGGGAACCGTTTTTGGGAACTGTACTTGCAAGTGGTTCCTAAGAACTTAACCTTGCTTCGGAACCTCTTCTTGGATACCTGCTTGAGAGTCTCTTCCTGGGAACCCTGCTTGGGAACCTCTTGCTGGGAACCCTTGCTTGGGAACCTTTTCCTCGGCTTGCCTGGGAATGCCTGGGAACTTTTTCCGGGACCTTACTTGTGAACCTGTTCTCGGGAAACTTGTTTGGGCACCTGTTCCTGGGAACCTGTTGCTGGGAACCTTGCTTGGGAACCTCTTCCTGGGAACCTTGCTTGGGAACCTCTTCCTGGGAGCCTTGCTTGGGAACGTGCTTGGGAACCTTACTTGTGAACCTGTTCTTGGGAACGGAACCTCTTCCTGGAAACCGTGCCTTGGAACTTTTTCCCGGAAACTTACTTGTGAACCTGTTCTTGGGAAACTTCTTTGGGAGCCTGTTACTGGGAACTGGGAACCTCTTCCTGGGAACCTTGCTTGGGAACGTGCTTGAGAACCTTACTTGTGAACCTGTTCTTGGGATTTGTATGGGCACCTGTTCCTGGGAACCTGTGGCTGGGAGCCTTGCTTGGGAACCTTGCTCAGTGCGAATTTCGCCCCTCCGACCTGCTCCAAGACGTTTAGTATGGCTGAAGACCCCGAGCTTACGCTGTTGGGGAAACATGTTCCTGAAATCTTGCTTGGGAAACGGTCCTGGAAACATTGCTCGAAAAACGTTCCTGAAATCCTTGCTTGCAAAACCTGTTCCTTGGAACCTTGCTTGGGAACCTGTTCCTGGGAACCTTTTCCTGGGAACCTTGCCTGGGAACTTCTTGGGAACCTATTCCTGGAAACCTTGCCTGGGAACTTTTTCCGGGAACCTTACTTGTGAACCTGTTCTTGGGAAACTTGCTTGGGAACCTGTTCCTGGGAGCCTGTTGCTGGGAACCTTGCTTGGAGACCTCTTCCTGGGAACGTTGCTTGGGAACGTGCTTGGGAACCTTACTTGTGAACCTGTTCTTGGGAACCTTGTATGGGCACCTGTTCCTGGGAACCTGTGGCTGGGAACCTTGCTTGGGAACCTCTTGCTGGGAACCTTGGGCGCGGATTTTGCTGCTCCGACCTGCTCCAAGATTTTTTCTATGGCTGAAGACCCCAAGCTTACGCTGTGGGGGAAACATGCTCCTGGAAATCTTGCTTGGGACACGGTCCTGGAAACCTTGCTCGACAAACGTTCCTGAAATCCTTGCTTGCAAAACCTGTTTTTCGGAACCTTGCTTGGGAACCTGTTCCTGGGAATGCTTGGGAACCTCTTCCTGGAAACCTTGCCTGGGAACTTTTTCCGGGAACCTTACTTGTGAACCTGTTCTTGGGAAACTTGCTTGGGAGCCTGTTCCTGGGAACTTGTTGCTGGGAACCTGGCTTGGGAACCTCTTCCTGGGAACCTTGCTTGGGAACGTGCTTGAGAACCTTACTTGTGAACCTGTTCTTGGGAACCTTGTCTGGGAACCTGTGGCTGGGAACCTTGCTTGAGAACCTCTTCCTGGGAACCGTGGGCGCGGATTTCACTGCTCCGACCTGCTCCAAGACCTTTTCTATGGCTGAAGACCCTAAGCTTATGCTGTTGGGGAAACGTGTTCCTGAAATCTTGCTTGGGAAACGGTTTCTGGAAACCTTGCTCGAAAAACATTCCTGAAATCCTTGCTTGCAAAACCTGTTCCTGGGAACCTTGCTTGGGAACCTGTTCCTGGGAACCTTGCTTGGGAACCTTTTCCTGGAAACCTTGCCTGGGAACTTTTTCCGGAACCTTACTTGTGAACCTCTTCCTTGGAACCTTGTTTGGGAATCTCTTGCCAAAAACCTTGCCCTGGGAACCTTGCTTGGGGACCTGTTCCTGGGAACCTTGCTTGGGAACTTCTTCCTGGGAACCTTGCTTTGGAACCTTGCTTGGGAACCTGTTCCTGGGAACCTTGCTTGGGAACCTCTTCCTGGGAACCTTTTCCTGGGAACCTTGCTTGGGAATCTGTTCCTGGGAACCTTGCTTGGGAACCTTGCTTGGGAACTTGTTCCACCACTACTTTTTTTAGTATTATTACCAGTAGTACCACACAAGGCGGTGGCGGAAGTTTCAAAAATAGGAAACCTATAGGAGAGGTTGGTTCTTGTGACTCACGGATGGCAGAGCGAAGCCACTGATGGACTGACAGGTGGTTGAGGTCTCTTCTCTTTCTCTCTCTTTCTCTCTCTTTCTCTCTCTTTCTCTCTCTTTCTCTCTCTTTCTCTCTCTCTTTCTCTCTCTTTCTCTCTCTTTCTCTCTCTTTCTCTCTCTTTCTCTCTCTTTCTCTCTCTTTCTCTATCTACCTACCTACCTACCTATCTAATTTATCTATCTATCTATCTGTCCGTCTGTCTACCTGTCTATCTGCAAGCTTGAAAACGAAGCTATTCTGCAAGACGTCCTCAGGCTTTGAACTTGACAACATCCAAAACGAAACAATTTTGCGAGACGTCTCCAATTTTTGAATTTGACAACATCAAAAACAAAACAATTCTGCAAGACTTCCTTCCAAAATCGAAAGTTGAGTGCAGCGCTGACAGCCTCGTACCAATGCGTGTTTTCCTATTTTTCTCCTCGACCTATCTAAAGTACTGCGCTAGTGTAATGTAGTGAAGTGTAGGGGAAGGTAGTGTAGTGTAGTGTAATGTAGTGTAGTGGAGTGTAGTGTAGTGTAATGTAGTGTAGTGAAGTGTAATTTAATGTAGTGGAGTGTAGTGTAGTGTAGTGGAGTCTATTGTAGTGGAATGTAGTTGTGTAGTTGTAGTTGTAGTTGTCGTGTAGTAGAGTGTAGTGTAGTGTAGTGAAGTGCAGTGGAAGGTAGTGTAGTGTAGTGTAATGTAGTGAAGTGTAGTGGAGTGAGTGTAGTGTACTGAAATGTAGTGTAGCGTAGTGTAATTTAGTGTAGTGGAGTGTAGTGGAGTATAGTGGAGTGTAATTGTGTAGTTGTAGTTGTAGTGTTGTGTAATGTAGTGTAGTGTAGTGGAGTGTAATGTAGTGTAGTGTACTGAAGCGAAGCGAAGCGACATCTGAACTTCCAAAAGCGGTCCGACACTGAGGTGTTTTGTGCATTTTGACTTCGAAATGTGCTTCGCGCCACAACTGCGTGCACTTTTTCGACATCTCAACCTCCAAATGTGGTCCGAACCTGGTGTGCTTTGTACATTTCGACTTCGAAATGTGCTTCGCGCCACAACGGCGTGCACTTTTTCGACATAGCAACTTCCAAAAGTGGTCCGACACTGAGGTGTTTGGTGCATTTTGACTTCGAAATGTGCTTCGCGCCACAACGGCGTGCACTTTTTCGACATCGCAACTTCCAAAAGTGGTCCGGCGCTGGTGTGTTTTGTACATTTTGACTTCGAAATGTGTTTCGCGCCACAACGGCGTGCAATTTTTCATCTCTCATCTGGCCAGCTGGCTCCGCACCCGCCGCTTTAGCGAGCCTACTTTTCGACCCTCCGGAGCCACAAATCGGAAAGACACAGTTTTTCGCGACTTTCCCACCTTGTCGCGCATCTGCATCTTCTTTCTTCTGACTCTTTCTCTTCTACTCTTCCCTCTTCTAATCTTTCTCTTCCCTCTGCCTCTGCCCTACTCTGCTTTTCATCTGTCCATATTGTCGGAAGTTTGACTTCTAAACTTCCTTCGATTATAATTATTACTACTAAAATTACTACTACTTACTACTACTACTACTATTATTACTACTACTACTGCTATTGCTACTGCTACTGCTACTGCTACTACTGCGACGACGACGACGACGACTACTACTACTACTACACTTTTTTTGATACGGATATTTTTTTGATCTAGGTTTGAGCACGAAACGCATGAGGTCTCACACAGTGGCACCTGGATACTTTTTTTGATCCCTATATATGTTTCTTTGATGCGTGCTGGATTTTTTTTGGATGCACATATTTTTTTTGAGATACGCGTCTCTTTTCCGTTGCCATCCATTACCTTGCGCCCACACAGTACGCGCCCGTCCGCGCATCCACGCTCGCTCATGCTCACCAGGCCATTTCGACGCCTTGCACGCGCCCTCTGCACATCCATGCCGTGCCCTCTTCTCGACTCATTTCATTTCCCCTTGCGCCCATCTACGCTCGCTCATGCCCACCGACCCCTCATCCCCAACCATTTCCATGCATTCCCTTGCGCCCATGCTCGCCGGCCCTTCTCCACCTATTGCCATCCATGTCCTTTCGCCTGCACCGTTCGCGCACTTCCGCGCATCCACGCTAGCTCACGCCCACCGGTTTCCATCCACCCCCTTCCGCCCACGGATTGTTTGGATGTGCTTTGGTTAAATAACGGCCTTGTGCCCAGAGTGGCCTGGCACTGAAAGCTGGATCTGCGACGGTATTGGACAACCCAGCTAGCTGCAACCACTTGTTGTTTTCTTCCAAAAGTCACAAAAGCATTTGTCAAGGTGAATCATTCCGCTCTGGACGCTGAGGTACGCCACCCCTTGTACATACCTTGAAAGCGGTTGAGAGCTGCCGGAGTTTTTTGAACCAGAAATTCGCATGCTCAAGAAAGTACAGTTGGGATTTGTGTGGAAAGAGCCGTTTTCGAAAGTGGGCATATTCTTGAAAAACATTGTCGAAGGACATTTAATTTCCTCACGCGGGATTGTTTTCTGAGTCGTTTCACCCGAGCATTTTCCCTTGTGATTTGCCTGCGAAGTGACGAAGTGGGTCCTTAAGTCTGCTATCACGGTGACGCTTCCCACGGCTTTTTCCACAGGTATTATGTTTGGCCACTAACAGCAAAAGCACATAGCAGACAAACCATGTTCGGTTGAGATTGCCTTGAGGCGTGTTACTGCTTCCAGTTCCCATGGACTTGAGCCTATGGCTTTTAAACCATGCGGCTGTTCTGGTGAGAAGTGAGGTGGTATGGGCTCTTTGTGTTTCATTAGTGAAAATTGAACAGTTTGCAGGCAAACGCAGACCTATAATTAAGCAGCGCCAGAAGATACGTCGTTGAAATAGCAGGAAAATCTGTTATTCCAAAGTACAGGAAGTGAGAGTTTTTCAAAAGTGCTTGCAATCTTCTGAGCTCACATGATATGATATGATATGCCATGGCAGACGCCAACCTGGTGAAAAAGAGCCTTTCGGTGCACCGGCAGAATCCTTTTCCGTTCTTTTTTTGTGCGTCGATGTTTGCGAGGGTTTAGTCGCCCATCGCTGCAGGGAAGGAATCAAGAGCCCTGATACTAGAGGACACGAATCGCCATGAGTTTAATTATTCATGTCCTCTTTTCATGCAGCTCTTCAACTTGGAGAGCACAATCCTGAAACCCAAGCAATCCCGCCCTTTCCCGATGTTGTGTCAGGAATTGCCGCTGCTGCTGCTGGTGCTACAATTACCATCGCCTTGTTTTCTTGTTCCCCCTGGAATGCAAGCTCGCAGCGCAACGACCCTTGCCACACTGGTAAAGCAACATGCCGCAAGCGGATCCTTGTCGAGGAATACCAAAAGTTTGCCCAATGCATTGCTTAGGTCACCAATGTACCCGCACCAGGCAACTGGCAGTATATCAGCATGTCAAATATAACGGGCCAAATTCATCATCTCATCATGTCACAGCCGCAAATAAGGCGTTTCCAATCCAAGAAAGACGCCCAAGAAGAAAGTTGACATCGAATCAGCCACGCATGTGGCCGGTGGCATCTAGAAATCAATGCGCGGCCTCTTTGGAATCCAATGTGAAACTGTTGCCAAAGCCCATTTTGCAAAGACGGGGGCTTGCCATCGCACCCGGCCACCCACCACCTATTGCTGTACATAACCAGGCATATATGCATGTGGCATACGACATGTGGGCGCCAAGACTCGCGCTGTCCATTTTCCTATGCCATTCTTAATGCGTTCTTCTTACGCCACAATGATGCCATGTTCATGTTCGATAAGCATCTAATTTTTGCCGAGAATAAGACCCTAGGATTTGGCACACACACAACAAAATGAAACCAGAGGTAAAACATCAAACAGGTGCAAAAAATGTGTCTTGAACCGCAAAAGCAACACAACATGTGCAATAATGCTGTGGTTTTTGTTGTGTTTATGTTTCCTTCATGCTTGTATTTTGTTGTTTACGTTTATTTTCTGTGCATATTATTGTTTTTTAATGTCAAGAAAATTTTGTTCGCATAAAACATTTCTGAGTGACGATCAAAATCATTGAATTATGCTGTTGCCATTTTGTGATGCATTTCGCATAGGAAGAAAGCGCAAGGGCGAGCGCAAGATATATTAGCATATGTTTTTTCTTCAAGTATAGGATTTTGTGGTATTGAACGGGTTTCGCAGAGCACCGATTCAATTTCTTGGAAACCAGGTCCTGGACAAGCATCGATTAAATTTGCCAACGGCGCTGGTCTGAACCACGTGTGATAAACAAAGAAGTTAAACCACATGGATGAACTGATTCCCGAGCGGTGTCCCTCAGCAGGAGCGGGTCCCCTCGAGAATAAAGAGGCATGGTAGAAGGAGAATGTAGCTCACATAGAAGTCTATTCCCAAACGGTCCCCCGAGCCAAAAAGGAGCTGCACACAGAGAAGTTTGATTCCCAAACGGTCCCCCGGAGTCAAAAAGGAGCCGTCCTGTAACGTGTGGAGTGTAAAGTGTCAAGTGGGGAGTGTCGTGTGTAGAGTGTAGAGTGTAGAGTGCAGAGTGCAGAGTGTGGAGTGTAAAGCGTCAAGTGTAAAGTGTGGAGTGTAAAATGTAAAGTGTGGAGTGTAAAGTGTAAAGTGTGGAGGGTGGAGTGTGGAGTGTGGAGTCCAGTGTGTGGAGTGTAGGTATAGAGGGTAGATGGTAAAATGTAAAGAGTGGAGTGTAGCGGGTAGAGTATGGAGTGCGGAGCGTCATCACATGTCACAACATGCCGCGCCTGCCACGGAATTTGCACGTTGTCACTACTTCACGCAGCCCTGACAATGCGATTCGCACAAAACACGCAGCACGACACGTCTCAAGTGCTGCGCTTGCCACGCAAAATGACAATGGAGGTCTCCAAAGTGCCACGCTTTCCACGAAAAATGAACCTCACCTTCTGAAAACGACGCGAAAGTATGGCGCCTGTGCCACAAAATGATTTTCGATGCGTTTGCAGACACGTGAGAATGTCAGGAAGCGCCACGCCTGCCACGCAAAACGACATTATAACTTGCTTTGACACCTTGAAACAGGATAGGTTTTGCAGCTTCCCCCATAGACACGGCCACGGCAAAAGAAAACAAGAGCATCGAGACGGGACATGTTGGAGCCTCAAAACGAGCATTTCGTGGGAGACTTCCTCCAATGCATGTTCACACTTTTCAGCTTCAAAATCGACGTTTTGCTACGGCTTTCTCATGAACCTCAAAAATTGCTACGTCAAAATCGATGTTTCGTGCGAGGCTTCCGTCAATTTTCAGCACATCTCACAAAATGACGCGCCTGCCACGGAATTTGCACGTTGTCACCACTTGACGCAGCCCTGACAATGCGATTCGCAAAAGACGAGCCACAAGACACGTCTAAAGGGCTGCGCCTGCCATGCGACATGACGATGATGGTCTCCAAAGTGCTGCGCCTGCCACGAGAAATGCAACTCATCTTCAGAAAACGACGCAAAAGTATTGCGCCTGCCACACTAAACGATTTTCGACACGTTATCAAACAGGTTGGAATGTCATTAAGTGCCACGCCTGCCACGCGAAACGAAGCCACGCGACTCGACGTTTGGAACCTCCAAGAGTGATCCCTTTCGCAGAACTTGCCATAGGCACGGCCATAGCGACCTCGCGCGAACGGTTGCGGGCAATTGCGACGGTAAACGCAAGGTCGAGCGAACACACCCTCAACCCCCAGACACCCAGAGTGAAACGGGAACCCTTGCTACGCATTCGGAAAAAAGAACGGACATTTTTTTCTACTGTAGTGCGTTTGCTCTGGGGTCACACTGATGCAAAAAGTGTTCACCTTTTCTTTCTTGCCACAGTCTGTTTACATGTTGATGCTGAGCAGTCTGCCAGGGAGAGCTTTAGCGCAAAGACTGGCATAAAGGGTTCATGCATTAGCGATGGGTAAAATGCAAGTTTCGACAGCCGCAAGTTAGATTGCAGTATTAAGCTTGACACAGCATGAAAACATTCCATGCAAATTATGACTACGCGCAGGCAGGGAGTGTCCACGACTACCACTATATAGGCCGTGCAAATCAACCACCCCAATCACCCCAACCACCCCCAATATTCTTCCAACCGGCAAGTCAATGCAATCCTCCTATATGGGGCCAACCCAACTCACCCAGAGAGAGCCACGCAATTTCTCGCGGGTTGTTAGAACATGCTGACATGCTGTGCGGCTCCTGGGGTCGGACGACAACATCAAACAATAGGGCTTTCCAGGGGTTGAACTTGATCTGGAATATAAAACCACGTTTGCGGTGCACATGAGGTGTTCATGCTTTGTCGTGTTGCGCATGTGTTGCGCTCATATGTATTCGTGTCGGTTGCGTTTCACGTATATGCCCTGCTTACATGCCGTATGTGTTTCATTTATGTTTCACTTATCTTTCACTTATGTCTCGCTTGTGTGGTACTCATGTTTCACCATTGTTCCAATCATAAAATTCATTTGTGTTGTATCTAAAGCGGTTTCATTTCCATTGTTTCCACTTGTGCTTGTGTATGCTTGTGTAATGATCTGTTTATGTTTTATTGGTGTTTCGCACATGTTACACACATGCATTGCTTACGCTCGTGTTTTTCTTTGCGTGGGGATGTGGTTCATACCAGGGATAAAACGGAACAACACGAAACAATGATTTAAAAAAGATCCAGAACGAATAAGTTGAATTAAAATGCCCCCAGCTGACAGGTGGAAAGCATGGAAGCATGAGAGACAACGAGAAGAACCCACGGAAACATAGGAGGAAAAGTGCGAAGGAAACTTTACCCCAATAAAACACATTGGGATGACGCTTTTCAAAGGGTTTACCATCAGATGCAGATGGTGCAAAATAGTCAGGCGCCAAGCCAGGGTTAGGACGTAAGATTTGGCAGGAGTCTGATGGGCTAGGTCCGGGTTGGGGCCCTACAAACGTCAGGATTTGAGGCGCCAAACCAGGCTTGCGGCCATAAAGATATAAGTCTTGTTTGGTGATTTTTAGTTTTTCGGAACTACAGGTAGCTGAGCGACGAAAGCAAAGAGGACAGCGCGCGCATGGTACATGCTCGGAAAACAAATGGTTGGAAACAATTGCCGGGATGGAGAAACAGTAGCGAGAGGAAAGGCTGGCAACATGGTCTGATCCATCTTTTGGCGCCAGACACAAAGGACTTGGCAAAGGAACAAACCAAGGAGTTTAGAAGGCGCGGGCGAATCCAAACTATTGTTCAAGGCCCATGCCAAGGGCGTCGCAAAATATTTTAGAAAATGGAACAACAGATCGAAACACCATTACCCTGAAAACACGTCATGGGGTGACAGCACCATTTTCAAAACCCGAGCGCGCACACGCACACACACTTGCTCAGAACTGTCGTTGCAAATTTTGTTGTGGAATACATCAAACGTGCAAAACACCAACAGCAATTAACACGATGAGATGACCTAGATAAATAAATAAATAAATACATAAATATAAATATAAATAAATATATATATATATGTATATATAATCACAGCAGGCGTTGACCGTATAAAATAACAGCGATAAAAAAATATATATATGTCCCCCCAGCTGCGACTTATATGCGCCCAGGGGCGGGACTATACATATATATATATACTATATACACACATATATATATATACATATATATATAATGCGGTTATGTTTTCACAGGAACATTGCAGCGTCTTCGTTGGCCGCTGACTGCAATGTTCCCCAGCAGCCCCCTGTAGTAATAAGAAGTTTTACATCTATTCAGACGGTACGCACACACACACACTAGACAAGAATGGATCATTATATGATCCGGCAGGAACTGAATCCTGAAACATGCAGATTAGATGGGAAATTGGCAGGTACGTCAGAAAGGCGTCCCTTTCTGATATCACAGATCAAGGCAAGTGTCTTTGTTAGTGCCAGACTTGCAATGATCCCTGGCACCCCCTGCGTTATTTAGAAAGGGAGAGGACGGAAGGAAGAAAAAGAGAGAAGTTTTACATCTGTTTAGATGTTACACACACACACACACCCGGCCAGAGCCGGGTCAACCCTGAAAGGCAAGAGGAAGAAAAAAGCGGACACACGACGGGCAGACGGCCAAAACAAGCGCAGGGGGGGGGAGGGGAACAGACGGACTTCCAGAACCAGCCTACACGGCGAAACGGACCTGACCAAAACAGCGCACACACCTAAACCCCACGACACATTACGGAGAGGCACACGGGGAAAATTAGGGACCAAATGGGGGACTAGTTGGTGACAGACAAGGAAACCAAAACAATTAGTTAAACAACAGGATTCAGCTCCTAAACCTAGGGTTCGTGCGTTATGCCACTCCAGGCCCGTGTTCAAGTCTTGCCCCAATCGGCATAAAACGGCTTTCAAGTTCCAACGAATTAGGTGCACAATATGTTTAACCTCACCAGACAACCATCAAAAGAAAAAGGACCACACCTGGAAAGCATGTGCCTGCCTTTCTGTTGTCACAAATGTTCAAAAGCTGAAGCTGCAGTAAAAAACAGAGTTTCTGATTGTTTCGAACGGCTTCACTCTGGCAGACAGGAATCTCGGCGAGAAAACCCTGGGACTACAGGAGCAGCGAGACTCTTCGAAAACGGTGGATAACAGTAAGGCCGACAGTTTCGCTTTACTTAAGCGAATTACCATATTAAAATGTGTGAATTCGGAATTCAAGTCAGTCGACATTGACCCCAACTGGGGTTGCCTCAATTGGCCCTATGGCACCATGTCGGAGTCACCATAGGAATCACACTAGACAAGAATGGATCATTATATGATCCGGCAGGAACTGAATCCTGAAACATGCAGATTAGATGGGAAATTGGCAGGTACGTCAGAAAGGCGTCCCTTTCTGATATCACAGATCAAGGCAAGTGTCTTTGTTAGTGCCAGACTTGCAATGATCCCTGGCACCCCCTGCGTTATCTAGAAAGGGAGAGGACGGAAGGAAGAAAAAGAGAGAAGTTTTACATCTGTTTAGATGTTACACACACACCCTGCCGCAGCAGGGTGGGTGAAATGGACATGAAGATGAAATGACCATGAACATGAGATGACACCTTACCTAACCGGGACACGAGACGGGGAACGCAAAAGAAGAAAGGAAAAAAAAAGAGAAAACACCAACACCACACACCTAGCCCAAAACGGGCGGACCTGGGAAGGGCAAGGGATAAGAAAAAGCGGACGGACGGCGGGCCAAAAACTGACCAGAGGAGGCATGTTTTCCAAGCGGACCAGCACGAAGCGGACCAGCACGAATGGGTCCTAGTGCGAGCAAGCTCAAGCACCTCCGAGTGAAACAACAAAACAAAGACACGGACGACCAAAGGGCACGGGTGTGCCGAAAGAGACGCGGTACTGGGCGTGCAGATGGCACAACCTCAGGCGAAACGAAAAGACACAGACAGGCAAACTGCACAAGGGCGAGCTTTTTGTTTGGTTTTAGATTTTACGCTCAAGCCCCTACCAAATCGTTCGGTGATGTCTGCTTTGGATGCCTATGAAGCCCAGGCCACAAGAAAGCAACTACTTGCGACGCGAAAACTGATCTCCCCTCAAAGGCACCGGAGAGTGATTCAAACTGAAATAGTCCACCCCCTTGTCACGAATTGCGTTCTCAAGCTGAGGCCACCAACTCAGGTTATAAGACTTATAAACTGGGATAGTGAAAATATTAGCACGAGATGCTTCGTCACAAACGTCTTGGCGGTCGTCAACGTGTATGTTGGCGCCGTGAGAAGTTAACACCGGGGTTTTACCACCAGGCCCTACTGGATCGCCTACCACAGTAACGGACCGAAAAGGCAGGCCCTGTGAGCGACAGTATTCCGAGAGGTTATTCGCGTCCTCCTCCGTCTGCCTACCTCGAGCGGTGCCCGAAAAGGAGACGATGTGAAATTCGATCCTACCGCGTGCAATTTGCACTAAGTTGATGAATTTGTTAAGGATGGACTGATCGAATAGTTTCAAGGCGTTTCTAGCACAATCGAGGGTGTCGTGCCAGTCAAAGAACACGACTAGATTACGACCGATGGAACCTCGCTCTTGCTGAGCTCGGATCAAAGGTGTTAAATCTATTCTACCCCCTGGTGCGCGTACCGCAGCACCTGCCTTACCTCTAGTAGGGACGGATGCTGTGGAAGAAGTTGCCTGAAGAACGGCAGACTTCACGTCGAGTTGCAGGAGGCGAACAAGAAGCTTGGTGAACTCGATACGCAGCGTGGTGGAGCGATGGGGGTAGTGCAATCTGCACCCCCTCCACCTCATGCCATTCCTCAACCCTGTGGCATGAAAGCGATATGGATTGCCGAAGGCTCCTGCATTGACGACATCAGTGAACAACATGATGAGCAAGAGCCAGATCAACACAAGCTACGAACCCTCAAGAGGAGATCAACAAGAAGCTCAGGGACGAACTTGTTGAACAAGAATCATCCTTCTTGGGCTTCTCCGGTGCTGGTGGCAAACGCTTCGCCATCTTTTGCATTTGCGCCCACTCTTCATCCGTAAGTGGTCCAAATGCCGATGAGGTTGTACTCCTCAAGACTGCTTCTCGGGTGTCACCTCTTTCTTGTAGAAGGGCTCGACGTGCTATTTCCCGATCAAGCCATGACTTTCGCAGTCTTTCTTGGCGCATTTTCTCGTTCTTCTCTTTGCGCTCTTTGTCCCACTCCCCATAAGAGAGGATTCTGCGGCCTGCTGCTCTTGCCTCAGCAAACTGCCTTTTCGTCTCCTCCTCAGCAGCTTTCCAATCCACCGAAGATGGTGACGGCGTTCTTGGCCAAGGTTCTTTTGGCTCCTCAGCTTTAACTTCCTCAGGTTTTTTGGACCCCTGAGGTTCCTTGGACTCTGGTACATCTTGTTGTCCTGGAGGCTCCACACCTTCTTGCCGCGCTCGTCGTTCTTGTTGTAGAAGTCGAAGGCATGCCATCCTTTCATTTCGAGTCTTTCTTGCGCTCTGCATCTCCTGGACCTCTTTCTCCAGCTGTGGCGCTTTCTTTTTCACCCGTACTCTACGGTACTTCTTCAACTTGGGTCCTTCATCTTTCTTGACCTCATTTTGTTCGGAAGCTCCAGGTTGTAGTGCTTCATCATGTCGTTGACCTTCTCCATGTTCAGGTTTCCCGGCACCTAGTCCAGCACTGCTTGAGGCATGGCCTTCCTGCGTCCGAACTGTCCGCACTGGTACTGCATCTACTGCATCATCTCCTGAAGAGAAGCCCCTCTCATCGTCCAACACCACGCGCCTGGTGCCCTCGTTTTCTTCATACTGGGATGATTCCTCCACGTAGTGCACCTCATCATCTGGCACCCATGAAGCTTGCGATGCCGGTCTCAACGTCACCAATGAGGGAGCCAGTTTGAGACTCACCCTCTTCGGCATAGGTTTCCCCGGGCACCTTTCATGACCTCACCAGGATCACCGCGGTCCCGTCGATCATCACGATCTCCTCGACGACCACGATCACCTCGATCTTCTCCACCATCGCTCATCACCGCAAAGAATCGCAGAGCCGGTGGATGTTGTCCGTCTATGTTTGAACCAGGCCGCAAAGAAGTCAAAACTGCAACCCGTTCATCATCCAAAAATTCAAAATCACCAGCAACATGTCCCAACGAGGATCCCCATGTGGTAGTACTCATGTTTTGGGATTCTGATGACGTAGTACTCACTTTTGGGTAACCCTTTCTATTTGGGGACATTTTTTGGGATGCTGATGCCGACCCGGAACCCTTACCTTTTCCACTCCAACTGCTGTCCTCAAGTCGGTCTTGCTTGACCCTCTTGGCCATCTTTTCCACTTCGATCAAGCCCTTCGGGGTGTCCATCAAATCCAAGCCCATCAAATCCAAGCCCATCTCCCCCTCATCCGCAACCAGTCGTGTCGATGCCGAAGTCACCGACGATCCCATGGCACCATCAGCGGATGAACAAAGAGACATTGCCCGAAGTCGTGGTCCAGGGCCTTGACCTCCAGGATCTTCGACCAACTCACAGCTGCCGTCGCCTTCAGCATCCTCATCCAGCTGCGTAGTGGCCACTGGTTGTGTACTGCTCTGGCTGGAAGTGGCAGGTTGTTGAGGTTCTTCTAAACGTCGATCATTGTCAGGTTGTTCTCTCGGTAGAGCTCCTTGAGGTTGCTGTTGTGGATATCCCTGTTGACCTGTTGAGCTGTTGGAAGAAGCACCCTGCTGCTGTTGTTGCTGTTGTTGTTGTTGTTGACGTTGTACAGCTTGATGAATGCTTCCCCGTTCAGCCGCAACCGCTCTTTGGAAGGCTTCTGCACGTTGTTTTGGTTGTAAGACTTCTGCACGTTGTTTTGGTTGTGCCTCATCTGCCCTCCTCTTTGGTTTTGCCTTAGGCAGTGCTGCCTTAGGCGCATGTTGTTGCATCCATTGCACTGGAGGAGCTTTGTAGTTGGGAGGTACCTGTCCAAGTTGTCGTAGATAGGCATTGCCCGGAGGGTCCCCATGCGGGAATGGCACACCAGGGTCCGTCTCTGAATCATCATCTTCTATGGGATCATCAGGATCTCCCTCACATCGAAGTGCTCTCACCCTCGGCACCTCCTGCACTGATTGCACGCCTCCAGTCACATGCACTGATTGCTCCTGCAGAGCACCTTTTGGTGGCATTGACGACTCCGCCCAATTGCTAGCACATGGTCGCGCCCGATCCGTGGATGAACATCCAGGGACGTGAACTACTCCCCCATACCCTGGAAAGAAGCTCTGTGAGCCATTACAACCAAGATGTTCTTTTGAACCTTCTGCCGTGCTGGCTCGGCTTTGTGGATGGGGTGGATGTGCCGCTTCATCCAAATTCCTTTTTAGGGGTTCGTTTGTGGTCCTTCTGCGGTCTTTTTGCCAGTCTTGTGGTCTTCAGACTCTTTTCTTCCTTTTTTCTCATCTCATTCAGCTGAGGTTCAGACGCCTCAGCAAGATGTTCAACCCCTGGTAGTAGGTCTCCTCCATGATGTAGGTCGAGGCCTTCTTGTTCTTGTGGAACTCCATGCCTTTGGCGGTACAATGACACTGCCACCATAGCCAAGCCACCAAGCACCAGAGGCTCAGAGTCCATCAAAGCTCCAACCCCCATGACTGCAGCTCCCACGCCCTCCAACGCTGTATTGAAGCCAGTTGATGCCGTAGTTGAGCTAGTCCATGAAGGGCCTACCACCTTGGAGACCGAAACTTCTCCATCTTCTGTCATTCCAATCAACCCCAAAAATCGGGTAAATGCCTGCCCTTGGAGCGGCTTCGTCAAACCATCTGCTCCCAGTTCCAAGCCCGAGCAGTGCGACACCGTCCATGGTTCCTCAGGGTCTTGCACCACTTTTCGCAACTTGGCCGACCGAAGTCTGAGATGCCTTGTCCTCCAAGCTCCAGTGTCGGAGGTAAGTTGGCTGATGCCTGACTTGCTGTCTCCCTGCATGTGCTTTTTCACTCCCCCGTACCCGAGGACTTCCAAAAGAGCTCCTGTTGACTCCCCATTCTGGTACGCCTCATTGTACGCCAAGAGCTCTGCCTCCGCGGTGCTCTGGGTGATGAAAGGCTGCCTCGTTGAAGCCCACATGATAGGGTTCCCGCCATGGGTCATCAAGATGCCTTGCACTGAGCGGTATCCTTCATGAGGTGGTCCAAAACTTGCATCCACCATCACTTCCAAAACATAGATTGGGCCACCACCCTTGTACTGAGCTTCTTTGATGCACTGCCGCAAAGGTACTTCAGGCATTGCTGTCCAACTTCCACCACGGAGCCAGGCTTTTTGTGAAGCAGCCTTGACATGACCCCCACCGTGTACGCCACATCTGGTCGTGTCCTTGTAGTGAGCCACATCAACTCCCCGCACAACTGCTGGGCTGCTCGCAGGACTGGTCCTTCGAGGATGAAAGTTCCTGCCTAGAAAGGTATTCCTCGAAGGGTTCATGCCACCGTGACGAATCCAGCATGAATCACACACTTGCTCAGAACTGTCGTTGCGAATCTTGTTGTGGAATACATCAAACGTGCAAAACACCAACAGCAATTAACACGATGAGATGACCTAGATAAAAAATATATATATAATCTCAGCAGGCCTTGACCGTATAAAACAACAGCAATAAATAAATAAATACATATATATATATAATTATATATATGTCCCCCCCAGCTGCGACTTATATGCGCCCAGGGGCGGGACTATACATATATATACACACACACACATATATATATATATATATGTATATATATATATAGATATGTAATGCGGTTACGTTTTCACAGGAACATTGCAGCGTCTTCATTCTGCAATGTTCCCCAGCGGCCCCCTGCAGTAATAAGAAGTTTTTACATCTATTCAGATGGTACACACGCATATGGAACAAAACAACCCAAAGAAACCAACACTTTCCATCATTGTTGAAGACGCGGGGGCGAGCGGTACATGTTGTTGATTGGGCGCAAGAAATGGGTAGAACGATACCGTGTGAGGAATAAACGCGGCGGTTTTTTAATCTTGAACTCACACCTGGGAATAATCTAGATTATTTAGAAACAACACCAAACAAATCATGGAAAAATCGAGCGACGTTTGCCAATTGCAAATGGTCCTTGACAGCAAGCAAACCAACACAACACACGGGCCACAAGCCAAATGATATCGGAGCGTCTTTGGCAAACTTGCGCTTCAACCTACGAAACGGCAAACGTTTCTCCGTCAAAAACGAATCACAATTTCTACCTGCTTGAGGGTTTGAGGCCGGCGTAGCCTACTCTTGCTATACCGCATTGTGGAAGTCACAAGAGTTTTGCCCCCGACATTCCGCACCTAGGCCAAGGCACTAAAATAATCGAGGCTAATTTGTGCTTGATGTGATTACCTTTCTGTTGATGGACATGCGTAATCCCGCTCATATAATCGTTTACAATACATCTGTCTCCACGCTGCTAACAGGCCGTCCACTTGTTGCTATTGACTGTGCAGTTGGTTGACGCGCTTTGGATTTATACTGCTAGCATGAAAAGATACATGCCCTTTCGAGCGTCCAATGTAACGCTACAAGCGTGGCCTTTGTCAATCCATATTTACGAACCACAAGGCTCAGTCACAAGTCGCACAAACAAGTTCACGGCTGTTCCGTACCCTGTTTTGAACCGAGTCAAGGCATTATATATAAAATATATTTGCCGTTGTGATCATCAGGTAATAAAAAGCGATTGGCTGCGCCTGCTATTCGTTTTTCGCCCCGTGCTTTAATGCACGTTCGCATATTTGATCCGTTCCCTTTTTGGAGGGCGGTCGTTTTTCGAATTTGCGTGTATGTGTGTTTTTGCGGCATGCGGCCAAGTGTTGCCATAGATCTGGTTTCAAACCGGGTCGGAAAAAAGAGGCTAAACAGCAGGGAGGCCACAAGGAGCGTGATCATGTTGTACAGATAGGCTTTGGAGAGTGACAGCAATAAATTTGAAACTGTCCCCTCGTGTTCAAGCAACAGGAAAACATAGAATTTCAGGGCGCAATGGCAGGGAACGATTCAGTGCAAAAGTGCAGTATGTCAGTGCGCGCTCAGCAGTTGTCACACTGACCCCTCCTGCGTCAGTAGTTGACCCTTGAGCCAGCACAGTGGCTAGGCTTGAGCCTTGAACCAGCATCGCAGTGAGGCAGTGCATCCTAACACCCTTGTGGACGGATGTTTCAGTGTTTGTGTAGCGCAGTATCGGGCGCAGGTTAGGGCGCAGTTAAAACAATAAGTTGCACAGTCGTGGAACTTCAAACTGACTTAGAGTCTCCACAAGGCCAAGATGATATCAAAATTCCCACCCCCATGGAACTTCAAACTGACTTGGAGTCTCCACAAGGCCAAGATGATATCAAAATTCCCACCCCCATGGAACTTCAAACTGACTTGGGGTCTCCACAAGGTTAAGATGATATCAAAATCCCTACCTCCCATGGAACTTCAAACTGGCTTGGAGTCTCCACAAGGTTAAGATGATATCAAAATTCCCACCTCCATGGAACTTCAAACTGACTTGAGGCTTTCACAAGGTTAAGGTGATATCAAAATTCCGACCCTCATGGAACGTCAAATTGACTTGGAGCTTCCACAAAGTTAAGATGATATCAAAAGTCCCACCCCCATGGAATTTCAAACTGGCTTGGAGTTTCCACAAGGTTAAGATGATATCAAATTCCGAACCTCATGGAACGTCGAATTGACTTGGAGCCTCCACAAAGTTAAGATGATATCAAAAGTCCCACCCCCATGGAACTTCAAACTGACTTGGGGTCACCACAAGGTTAAGATGATATCAAAATGCCCATCTTTTTGAAACTTCAAACTGACTTGGGGTCTCCACAAGGCTAAGATGAGATCAAAATTCCCACCCCCATGGAACTTCAAACTGACTTGGAGTCTCCACAAGGTTTAGATGATGTCAAAATCCTCACTCCCATGGAACTTCGATGTGGGCTGGAGTCTCCACAAAGTTAAGATGATATCAAAATTCCCACCCCCATGGAATTTCAAACTGACTTGGGGTCTCCACAAGGTTAAGATGATATCAAAATTCCTACCCTCATGGAACTTCGATTTGACTTGGAGCCTCCGCAAAGTTAAGATGATATCAAAATTCCCACTCCCTTGGAACTTCAAACTGACTTGGAGTCTCCACAGGGTTAAGATGATATCAAAATTCCTACCCTCATGGAACTTCGATTTGACTTGGAGCCTCCGCAAAGTTAAGATGATATCAAAATTCCCACTCCCTTGGAACTTCAAACTGACTTGGAGTCTCCACAGGGTTAAGATGATATCAAAATTCCTACCCTCATGGAACTTCGATTTGACTTGGAGCCTCCGCAAAGTTAAGATGATATCAAAATTCCCACTCCCTTGGAACTTCAAACTGACTTGGAGTCT